GGGTGGGGGTGAGCGTCTTATATCATTCACAGTCCGGTGGCTTACGCACCCGACGTCGAGATCCGAGCGCGTTGCCTATCAATCCGGGGGCCCGGACGCTTTCGCTGACCTTGCGGAGTTTTTTAGGGATGCTGCGGTGCCGAAATGTGGAGACGTAAGGGTTCGTTAGGCCCTGGATGTATGGATTAGGCTTAAATTTGGTAGGTCAGGATACCCCCGTTCTTTCTCCGTATTACTCAAGTAATCTGGATTGAGACGTCTCATGCAGTAAAGGTTCAGCTTTTCCGTCTCCTTGTTGTTGTTGTTGTTGTTGTTGTTGTTGTTGTTGTTGTTGTTGTTGTTTTTGTTTTTGTTGATGATGATGATGATGATGATGATGTTGATGATGATGATGTTGATGATGATGATGATGATGATGATGATGATGATGATGATGATGATGATGATGATGATGATGATGATGATGATGATGATGGTGATGATGATGATGATGATGATGATGATGTTGTTGTTGTTTTTGTGCTTTCTCCTCTACTCCTTCTTCTCCTCCTTTTTTCCTTCTTTCTCTTCTTCTTTTTCTCCTTCTTATTGTATATTTTCCCCTGCCTCTTCTCATAATTTTTGCTTGTTCCTCTTCTTCAACTTTTTCTTCTCCTTCATCGTCGTCTTTTAAAGCACCTTTTTTTAAAATAAATATATTCTACCACGACTACTTCTACTTCCACCGCCTTTTCTTTTATTCATTTAGTATAATCACTAGTTTAGTATAATTAGCGTTTTTAATCTACGGAAGACAGAGCTCTAGAACATTTCATATAAAATCTCAACACGGAGAACCCAACAAACATAACGTACATATTTCATGTTTCAAGTTCTTACTTTTCCCATTGTCGTATGCCAAAATTACTCCGAAACTAAATCACCATGCAACAGAGAACTACGTATGACAATTGTCGCCTTGCTGACTTAAACGCGTAACTCAATTTTCACGTGAACCTCGTGCTCCATATAACTCTATGCTTTCCAAGGTTAAAAACGCGTGCGCGGTGCGTTTAAAAATAAACATTTATTTGTACGTCCTTGCGTCAAAAGCGGCAATATAATTCACAAAACGCAGATACATACTTCATGTTCTTCAGGTATATTCCATGTGTCCTGTGTTTATGCTCAAGTTGCTGTAGAACATCTTATTGTGTAAAATCACCGCGATCATGTATAGAGGCACATAATTTACGTTCGCCGAGCACAGATTGTTTGCCTTGTATACTATGTGAAAAGTGCCCGACACATTGACGAGGCATAAATAATCGATTATCGATATATTTCCTTATTTGAAGCTACGATAAAGAATCGATCATTAAGGTGTTCGTTACAAGCACCCTGTTTATCGATATTTTTCCATTGGTTTAAATGGCAGATCAATCGATTTATCGACAATAGCGTGAGAACGGAGCCGAGGAGAACTCTTAACAGGGCTCCAAATCGACCGGAAAAGAGCCGATAAAGCGGTCGCGGAAAGCACTGCCGTGCTAAGGAAGAACGCCGCATGAACATTCAATAGTTGCCAAATTTCCACGGATAAAACATGTATTTCTGAGGAAAGTTGTGCGTATTTTTCCTTGAAATTTTCAGATATTTCGGATTCAATCGTGCACAAAATCGACTGAAAAATTCGAGGGGAAATGTTGAACGGTTTCCGTGAAAACTCGTGTTTTATTGGAGGAAATTCGGCAACCTCTGAAGGCTCATACGGCGTTTTTCCTGAGCATGGCAGAGCGGAACTGTTGCCGTTTCATATCCGCGTGCGGAGCTCTCGTTCTCGGCGTTGCAAGTGTCGTTTTATTCGCGGCGACGATAAATCAAGTTAATGCCTCTCCGCGGATCGACGTTCGCGAGCGGCGCGGAGAGCGATTCGCTCCGAGGTTAATAGAAAATGACGATTTATCATGAAATATCGGCGTCGAACATATTGTCGGCTCGCGTTTTGCACCGAGAGCCGAGACGCCGTTGGGATAGAGGAGGGGGGTGGAGACACGACCGACTGTGACTTCGGTTTACGCAGGGTCTGATCAGTCTGATAGACTTGGCTTCTAGGACTTCGAAAGTCGTCTCCCGAACGAAGAATGCAGCTCTATTCCGATGTTACCAAATTGGTAATAGGACGAAATGGACTGCATTTTGCAAATTAAAGCTATACATTCTAACTCATTTGAAAAAAATACTTGGTGCATAGGGAAACTAATGGCAAATACGTTGTTCTTAAACCGGGACGAAATTTATAGTTCTTAATAATTGCGAAATATAGTCCAATTGTCCAAAGTACAAAAATGTCCAAAGTCAAAAAAGTCCGTACCTAAAACAAGTCCAAATATCTGGAATGTCCAATAGCGGTGTTATGCTGTTATGGCCCAAAACAGAAATATCCAAGTGTTAAATAATTTGACTAAGGGGCAACATAAGAAGCCTGGGAGCTTTCTATTTCAATGGATAATGGAGAAATAGTGATGTAGAGTTTTCCTGATTTGTGGCTAAACTTGGGTATACGCGCACTAAGCAACAAATTTCGAGGAAGTCAAGAACAAAACAACCAATCAATTTATTTTACAAAAATGCACCTGCGGAATTTTTATCCTGAATGTTCTGATTTTTGCTAAAAATCCGACGAAAAATCAATGGATTTCTCAGCTTTTCCACAGGCCCATTGGAAGCGAAAAATTGTGTTGCGATTCTCTCCTGCCTACCACAAGCGCCCATTGGCGGATACAGCAAATTGGCAACATCGTTCTTCCCCCATTTAATACCATGGAAATGTATCGATTCTTGGAGGGGCCTGGTGCTCCGACCAGAATCGATTATTTAACAGAGGTTTAAACTGAGTAATCCGGTGTTGTCAAATTGCTAGATCGGCTTCCGCAAGCGTCAGAATGTCGACTTCACAAGAAACACGAGAAACTGAAATGTAATGTCAAAAAAGGTTATTTGCACTCGGATACCGGCATGTGGGCGTTAAATACTTAATCACTAATTGGACGTCATTACGAAGTACGAAACTAGTGCAACAGCGTGAAATAATGTGGGTTGAGACTGATGATGCGCGAGACTTGAGACAGATGACTGCGACAAATGGATTAAAACAGAGATGCGCGCCCCTTAAACGGTGCAAATCAGGAGTTACACTTAGGTGGAGTGAGGAAACTCTCCAATTAATGCAGATGTAATTAATTTAATGTGAAAAGCCTACGTGAAACTCGAAGTTTAACACAGCTTACGTGATACAACTATATTAACGCCGGAGTAGCCAAAATTGCATACCCTCCAAATAGAAGGAAAACCAAGATTTCTACACGCAACCTGCCTGCGGGTTTATGGATATGATGATCCTTTCCTCGCGGAGGAATATAAAAAAATTTAAAGTTTATTGGTTCGATGAATTCATGTCTTCATTGTTAATTTTTTCTGCAACCCAAAAATTGTGTATGAAATAAAATTTTGACGATTTTTGCTTACTGTTTCAGGTGCTGATCGCAGTTTTGAACGTTGTCTTAAAGCAGGCACTCGAATTAGAGGAGAAAATGCCTTATCGAAGATGATTTGCTTCTCCGTGTGTTTCTCTCTCATTTACTAAACTGCCTGTTTCCTATGTTATCTCTAAGTAAATGCTATTTTTACTGTCTTTTTTAGTACAGCATTGGTTTTATTTTGACATCAAAACCCCTTTCAAACTCGTGGATTATATTGCCATCCTTCGATAGAACCAACAATTATAAATGTCTGCTAAATGTGCGCATATTTTTGTTTACATTAAAAGCTATAGATCAAACATCAAGTGAAATTTAAATTTATGATTTGTTTTGTCTGAACACAGCTTTGATATTTTGTACCCTGATTGTAAATGAAAACCAGATAAGCTGACTGTACTAACGCTGTAGTTTATAAAAATGCATTTTTTTTTCATTTTTTAATAAAAGGAATATATCGCTAGCCATGCTTCACATTTTTGCCTATTAATTCACCCATCGGTAGTCGTAACGGACGGCGTGAATAGTCGATGATCGATATTTCCCCATTTGAAGCTATTGTAAAGAATCGATTACTAAGGTGTTCGTTGCGAACACCCTGTTTATCGATTCATTTCCATAGGTTTAAATGGCAGATCAATCTATATATCGCAAAGCACGCCGCGCCACTGGATCTCTTGCTTTCTACGATTCAGACCTAAGACTCAGAACTTTACTCTTCAAAGCACATTTAATACATTGATAGATACAAATATTAAAACAGAAGTTTGGTAATATTCAGAATGCCGGATAAAAAGAGTATGTCACTATATCGGTTGTAAAATGTCAAACCGCATGCGCAGATTTTTCCTGCTGTGTTGAATATTTCCATTATATTTTATTGTTTTAAAATTTAGCTTCCTAATTTTAAGAAAAAAATTTAGAAAATGCTTTTCGAGAATGTGGAAAAATATCAAACGAAATTTTGTGTGGAAAAGAGATGATCAGACCAATGATAAAAGAGTGAAATATGGCAGAAAGTATGTAAGGTTTCAAATTGAGTTAATACATCGTTTGGTAGTTCCACCATCGATTCATAGTTAAGTATGTACGTTGTTTTAGCTATAAAATATATTTGTTTCATTTATTTCTGACAGAAACTTAATTTCATCTTTAAACCGGCAGCAGGGTGAATTTTGAACTAAGCTCCAAAATTGGAGGTTAATCATTAATTTATACTATCCTCATAGTTGAAGATGCCCTGAATAACGAAGCATAAACTCAAGCGCATGTGTCATTAAAAGATTTAAAGTAAGCAATTATCTCTTTAATCAATTTGCAGAGTGTATTAAGTGTTTTGCGCTTGAGGGCTTATCAGAAAATCGTGAATTGGCTGAAATATAGAAACGGTTTCCATCATCCCCTAACAAGAGGTAATCTTCTATAGAATCGGAAGAGACCCCTTCCGATCCACCCTAGAAATGCGTAGGCTTTTCGACTCGGGGTTTAAGTTTTTCACCCAGATTTTACTCAAGTGCCTAGTTAAGAGAAAACAACATGGAAGCTGCACAGCACAACTTCGAGTACCTATTTACTCTCAGTGCATCATATGGATTATTACGAGATCGCTCCACCATAAATCGTCCCTCTTCCGCTAAAAGAACGCATCTCCCGTTTTTACTTTAGCCCTGGAGAGCATGGAGTGAAATAGACATTCAGGCTAAGCTCAAAAAGCCTCCTCACTTTACGTTAGGGGAGCGATGAAATAGCGCGTGTCTTTAAGTTGGGAATTTTCAAGTGCATAGTTACCGAATTGCTGCGAGAACTTTATATTCTGATAAGTGAATTTTGTCTCCGACGGTTTCGAAAACAGACCCTTCGCGTTTTAAACCTTTTTGGCGGAATTTTCTCATCAGCTAAGTCTTGGAAAACGGGGAGTGGAAAAGAGGGAAAAACTATTGGTTACTTCGCCGTAAGATAGGAATCAAAGGAGCATTTTTGTCTGAAATAAAAATTGAGTGTTTTACACCTCGAGACTTCTCAACCATGTTGCGACTGCCACTATCGATGCTCTCTCTGCCGTGCTGAGTAAAAACGTCGTAAGAGCATTCGAGTGTTGCCAAATTTCTCCTCAAAAATATTAATTTTTGAAGAAAGTTATCAGTATTTTACCTTGAAATTTGCATACGTTTTGGATCAAATTGCGGACGAATTTTTTTGAAAAATCGGAAGAGGAATATTCACGAATTTCCCTGGAAATTCGTGATTTTTCGAAGGAAATTTGGCAACGCCTGATGGCTCATACGGTGTTCTTCTATTCTGCCAGGCTATGGAAGAACGTCGTATGAACATTCGAGAGTTGCTAAATTTCTCTTACTAAAACATGTATTTTTGACAACATGTATGCATATTTTTCCTCAAAATTTTCAGATACTCTTAAGATTAAATTGCGTTAAAAATTGTCTGCAAATTTTGGAAAATAATTTTCACAATTTTCCCATCAAATTCGGTTTTTATCGGAGGAAACTTTGCAACGTCTGAAGGCTCATACGGCGTTCTTCCTTAGCACGGTAATACTGTACGGAAGCACTCCGGACATGGCTGTTGGAGAGTTAGTCCGTATGGTAAACAGGCTCTCAAAGGAAAATATACCCCTGATGAGCACGAGGATTTAGCCTTTTTCCTACTTCAACGTAGTGAGAGCTAAAAGAGCGCAGTTTCCACCTCCATGTGACAATTCGTATTTTTCTTGACACTCAACGAGTCGTCCTGATATGTCATCGCTAAAACTGACACGTTAGCTCCAGTTAAACTGTCTTTTTATAAGCCTTAAACACTAGGGTGCTTAAGAGGGAAAAATGGCTTAGATGCAATGCTATTTAGGCCGTTGTTATCTCCTCGTGGATTTAGCCAGGTATGAGGGACTCCTCTCTCTTTAATCCGGCTGATGTATGTGCAGAATTGCCAGCTCATTTCTTTTGGCTCGGGCAATTAAAGGCAAGTAAAGGCTGAGTCATGCGCCAATTGGATTGCATTTTGCAAAAAGGAACCAACAGTACTCCCGTGTTGCTAGGATCGTGCAACTTACTTTTTTGCATAAAATTACTGAAATCGTGGGGAAAAATCAATTATATAAAGGTGCTTTTCTTCTTGAATTCATTGTCAAACAACTTCAAAAATTGGTCCGCTACTGGCTCTCATCATCAGCGATGTGATTGACAGAAACATGCGCTTGTCATCTTGGCGCTGCGCGCTGGCGCGTCTCATGGATCAGTGCAAGAAGATGACTGAAGCGCATCTTGCCTTCAATTCAGGAGGTAGGCAAAACAGCATCCCTCACGTTCGAATAGTGGTATCATCTGAAATACGTGCATTTCCTCATATCTACCTGCTTATGCTTGTGAGCTAGCGTGCCGCATGCACCGCCACTAAAGGTTATATCGACGGTGAAACTACCAAACGACGTATCTTATTTGCCATGTTTCAAAATCTCCGCTCCCTTTTTATTTTTTCGAAAAAGAACAAATCAACATTATTCTTTGAAGTTTCCACAGGATTTTCTTCGCACGGAGAAGACAAATTGAGGATGTTTCAAAGAATTGACTTTGAGTAGTTCTCCATTTAAAAAGTATCGCAGCTGCAACGTCGCAAACTGAGATAGGTAGTTTGGGAGTTTCACCATCGACATTCATTGTTACCCTTTGACTCACCTCTCTCTTTACAGCGGCCTCATACGTCTTTATTTGTGAATGAAAAAGGTTGAGAGTGATATGCACCACAGTATCATATGCATAACAGTTTTTCCGAATCTCGAGCATAGCCTTTTTGTGTATTTATGTAAACTGTATTATATGTAGCATTGTCTATCAATGTCACAAGTCGACCAAATAATAATGTCAATGTCAATGTGAGTAATCGATAATGCTCGTGGATTGCGATTTTGAAAAAAAAAACTGAGATACACACCACGCAAATTGTCCATAAGGATGTGGATTTCAGCCATTCCGACTTAGAAATGAACTGATTTCATCAGAAAAGAACCAAACCACATTAAGTTGAAACTGAGAAAAAGAGGATTGAAGTTCTATCCCTGCGTCAGGCTCAATGTGAAAAATTATAACTTTATCCCCTCTTTTCACAATTTATTTTTTTGTTTTTTGACTTTCAGTTTTCAGCAGGCGAAAATATACGGTTAGTAAAACTTAAAATCATTCTTAACTCAATTTTTTCGAAAATGTAGGTTGGTTCCTTTCTGTTAAACTCGGTCCAAATATTAGAGCTCCTTTCTAGAAAAAGTTAAATTTCATGAAAAAAAAAGAGGAAAATAATGTATGGGCAAGTCTTGAATTGCACCTAGTGTTCGAAACTCACCTACAGGAGCCATATAGCGCATCAAGCTCCGTTTTTAGTGGTTATTGAAAATTATTTAGGGGCCTAGTTCACTCTTTGCCTATATATCACAGCGCAAGATGACAAGACGCAAGATGTTTTAGTTACAGAACTAGTAGCTGTGGCTTGGGGAAAATTTCGAAAAAAATCATCAAACAGAAAAATTAGGATTTTTTTTGTGGGGGGGAGGGTGATTTCTTAGGGGCCACGCTGTATCAGAGCCTTCATTTTTTATGCGCCATTGGTTGGCGCCTGTTGGCGCCTGTGAGTTTCGAACACAGATCGCACCCGATGAATTTTCCCAATCCATCAACACGCGCTCGGATACATTAAACGATAACCGAACGCTCGTTCCGAACGGCGTCAAAAAACGAGAGTCGAATTACATCGCGTCGAATCCGATCCCCGCTTCATTGCCTCGCTATCATTAATTTTTGCCACGTCCTCGCGGTTCTGGTTCCAAGGAGCTCGAGAATGAACGCTCTAACAATGAACTGATTACTTTCCGCGCGTATTTATTTTATTTCCAACGCTCGGCTCCGTCCCCCGCTTTTTTTCTCCTTTCAATGCCGGATTATGTCTCATAAATATTAATTCCTTGTTTGTGTTGATCGGAACTCTGTTTTTGTGAGCATGACCTCGATGTGATGCCTCTGGGGGAAAATTATTTTCTATGCAGGTGGGCAAGCGTGAACTTGAAGTTCTGTAATCGCGATATATCGACGTATCTCTCATTTCAACCTATGGAAAAGGATCGATAAACAGGGAACACCTTAATAATCGATTCTTTACCATAGCTTCAAATGGGGAAATATCGATAGTCTACCATTCACGCCTTGCCAATCCTTTAGAATGCTGCGGGCTCAAAGAAAGCGATGGAGAAGTAATACTCTGCTTTGTTCCTCGACCCTCAAAGAAACTCTGTTCTTCGCGTATTTGGACGTATTTCTGCCAAAGAGAACTATGTGTATTAAGACATGAGCCCTGAGACCCATAAGAATGCATGCATAACAGGGCCCACGTCATAATGCACATGGTTTTGTTTGGCAGAAATGCGTCCATTTACAAGTCCAGTTGTTAAAAAGTTCCGCCGAA